TTTATATATATATATATATATACACTTCTTATATAAATGAAAACCTAATACTTTTTAATTTACACACTGTATATAAGTGTGTAAATAAGTATACACTGTATACTGTACTTACATACAGTGTATACTTATACACTGTATATAAGTAACTGTTTCCAAGGAAATGTAGTGTTTCAATAACTGGAATTACTGTGGCTTCCCTAGGTACTGTACAGACCAGATGGACAACATGAAGGCAAGTTGTTCTCGACCGGAAGGCACACAATAGAGGTCCCAGTCCCCAGTGATGGCGAGTATGTTGTTGAGGTCCGAGCACACAGTGAAGGAGGAGATGGAGAAGTAGCTCAAATAAAAATTTCAGGTTAGAAAATAACTTCCTTTCTTCTTTTCCACACTCCTTGGAAATCTTTGAATATTTTCCTCTTGTACACTGTCCAGAGATGGGCACACCATTCCCATCCAAAATTGGAGCGGTAGCTCCACTGCACTGAGAATGAGGGTTTATCTTCAAATCTTTCTGAAGTCTCGTAATGCACGCAGGACACTTCAGCAGTAGTCCAGCTCAATTCCAGAAGCGCTGCCAATTTTCCAAACATCAGACTGTTTCTACTGGTCCTCCCAGTTAGGCTACCACTTTTAATAGATCCTACAAGCCTAAGTATGTGGTGCAGACCTCAGTTTCAAGACGTCAGCCTGTAATAATCCTATAGTTCCTAGTACCTGTCGCTTTTGTATCTCATTCTTTTGTCAACTGTCACTAAGAGGAGAGAGAAAGTAACTGAGAAAAGTAGGTCCACATGAGTCCACAGACCAATTGCTAGGGGAATTCTACTTTTCAGGAGACGAGGGAAGCTGTGATGCATACAGATGAATAAGCAACATGCAACATGCTCAGCTTTAGGGTGCCTGGATGGTTGGCAAATAGGGAAAGGGAGCTTGCATGGATCAGGCTGATTCAACTTCTACTCGGTGTTGATTCTAAGAGCTCAGGCATGGTCTGCACATCTCTTTCTCACTAGTTTTGTAATTTAAGTAGTGCCTTAGCATGCAGTGTATGAAGTAGAACATATGAGTAAACATACAGGACTTGGATAATGTCTTAGCAAGTTTATGATTTAAACACTTTTATTGTATTCTTGTCTTTGATTAGAAAATGAACATGGGGCGTAGTAATGACTAAACATTAACAGTATTCTGTATGTAGTCAGTGCAGCCATTATTCTTTCAAAAAAGCAATACCTATGCTGTGTTACCTCTGCACTGTGAGAGAAGCTGCCCATTCCTAAAGGAATGGACCTCCCATCTGCTGGTTTTCAATAATATGTACAGTTTATACCACCTAGTGTGAACTCCTGGGTATCACCATTTTTGTTTGTATGAAGCACCTATTCCAATCTTGATCAAATGGAATCTGGAGGTGGAGAATCCATCATTTGCAGGATACTTTTTTCTCATTAATCCCCTGCACCGTTGACTTTTTTTTTTGGCATAATTTTTAAACTATATTTATCTGGTTTGGGGGTCTGGCCATTGTTTAGTTTTATAGCCTTTGTCTAGATTAAAGAGTCTTTTTGTGCTTGATATGTTCTCCCCATTAAGGAATGTACATATTTCAGTCAAGTGACTGATTGAATGCTAAACAGACTGAGCACCTTGAATTTCTCTGTGATAACATTTTGTTCAGATCTTAAATAATTTTGACAACTCCTGTCTTCATCTCTCCAACTTCTGAGAACTCCTTTAGGACCATCAACACTATAACTATATGCACTATTTCAAATCTTCTGTCTGCAGAGATAATCTTGCCTCCCTACACTTCCTACTCCCAGCATAATTCATGAAAGGCTTTGATTAGCCATTTACTTCCTTGCACTGGGCTATAAAATGGTGTTCATTTGGTTTGTCCAGCACCAGCTCTAAATCCCTCCTGGAATCCTTGCTTTCCACGATACATGATCTGTGTGACATGCCTCTTTTTTCCTTAGTGTATCATTTTGCATGTGGCTGTGACAAAGCACCGTTGATTTCAATGGCTTAAGTTCCCATGCTGTATGGATTTCCGTGTGTGTTGTCCCTCTCTACTACTTTGCCACTTTGGTTCATTTACAGAGTCACTTAGCTGTTTACTTCTGGTTTTGATAAAAATTACTGGATTGCGTTCAGTCTATTACTGTTGACTGTGGAATTACACTAGAAATTGTGACCATTCTTCAGTAATTCTGTTTTGAAATCTGCCACTGACTGAATTCTTAATCTGTTTAGCATACCCTGTGTTAATTGTGTGTACCTTTCTCTGTGAGAATGTTTTAGGGTACTAGGTCAAGCACTTTACAAAAGCTGTAATACATTGCATTATATTCTCATACTCTGAGTGAAGCACTTTTAACGTATTTTATAGCATGCAAAAAAGTTGAATCAACTGCTGTTTGTAAGATATGTCTTAGGTCATCTTTGTATCTACCATACATTTCTTGCCACCCATCGTCGGTGTGGTGCAGAGACCCCTTAGGTAGCAGCGGATGGATTCCTCCCCAGACTAGAAGCAGAACCGTCATGTCAGTACAATGTTGAGCCCAAGCTGATAAGTCTTGCCAGCGAGGCGTGCCCTTACAGAGTTAGCACCTCTGGAAGAGTTAGCACTGTGCAAATTCTAGTTGGTTGGTCTGTCTTTTACATTGCAGCCGAGTTTTCAGCCACGTCTACCATTCCCAAGCTAGACAGAGAGCAACAGTGCCTCCGGTGGCCTAGGTAAAGCCAGCATTCCCTAGAGTCAGTTTAGGAAAGGAGGTGGAAAAGGAGACAAAAGGTAGGGTAATCCCTTTGGAATACACAGTATGTAGAGAATTGGGCAAGCATTTCAGGCTATTTCTGGATGCAAACCATGGGTTTTCCAAAGAGCAGAGTGAAGTGCAGTTTTAAACACCAACACATGGCAAATTATGTCTGCTGATTCTTACTCTTCATAAAATTTTACAGTAGTGTGACAGGCTTTAGAATAATTGCCAAAGAAGGGTGACAGAGAGAAGCTTTTAAGTAATGATGATTTTTCTCAGAGACTTGCAAACAGAGAACACCTAGTTTAGTAGGAATGTGTGTTCTGGTGACGGACTGGCCATAATGGAACTTAACATATTTACAGAGAGGTAAATAATAGCTAAGGCAAAACATAAGGCATCTTAGCAAATTCAGAAAGGATCATTGCCTTACTTGACCTTTAGACATCTGATTCCAGAGTCTGCAAACCAAATTGATTCCCTGCATAAGTGAATGAGGAGAATTAAGCAACTAGGGCACGGGTTCAAATTAGCCTGGATGCTGACCAGGAATGACCAAATCTTAAGCAAACTAGAAGGCTGCACTGAAGACAGAGGAATGTCTGAAGAACCTATGTGTCTTCCAGACTGATGTTCTCCTTTTGTTCATTGAATATCACATCCAAAGTAATCTACATAATTCATCTGAGTTAGGTGTCTGAACTCCCATTTTAATCGGTTGTCATCTAGGGTGTAACTCAGAATCTTAAACAAAGCCTGCAGCATGTGAGATGCCCCAGATTACCAGGGACATCCACACAATGCTGGCAGGCTTCTAAGGTGTTCTGGATCAGCAAGTAGAGGCCAGACAGCACACCTTTTGGCCTATATTTCAGATGTATGAATTGCACCTTTTTGCAAACCAAAGGTATTTCCTTGATTTGTATGGCTGCTGTTGCTGTGCTAGGCTACTGTGTTGGCAGCCTGTTGTAGTCGTACTCTGAGCAATTCTTAGCATCTGCTGAATTAGTTCTGAATTAGGTTTAAGTACACGAACATCTAGCTCAGGAACCTTAACTGGCCCTCGGGTCTTAATTTGGGTGTTAAAAAGTGGCACATTTTAACTAACAAAAGTTACATTGGAACATCAAATGTGAAAGAAAGTAGAAATATATGTTATTTCTAGCTTAACCCCTTGTCTAAGGGAGAAGCTGTCTTTTATGTTTTCCTCATTCTTCTCACAGGAAACCCAGGCACATGCCAGAAAGAGAGGCAAACATCCTGCAGCGACTTTTTTGTAATATAACCAGTCAGCTTCCTATGGGTCAGAGTGTTTTAGCGGAGAATGATATAAAGGAAGTTTACCAAACACAGCCGTCTCATAAGCATTTCTTTTTAGTAAATACCTTGAAATATAAATGCTTATCATAAAATCACTTACTGTATATGTGCTGAGGTGCATTTCCGCATACAGCTATAATCAGTGTTGTAAATTGTTGTATTTTATTGGCCAGTGCCTGTTGCACAGTTAGGGTTTTGGAGATACTTTTCAAGCCCATTATAATAAATCAATGAGCTACACAATTTAAAATTCATTCTTAAAATACAACAACTCACTGAAGATTGGAACTACTTGTTTAACCAAAGGAGTCCATTTCAGTGTCTAATAACAGGCTTATCTGGGGTTTTTTTTAAATACATTAAAGGCTGAGTTGGGTTTCTTTTTGTCCCTTGCCTGCTTTTTGGATTGCAGTGCTTTGTTGTAAAGCTAATATTAATGTAATCACAACAATCACAATCGGTAAACTAAAACCATGTGGTGCTTGGGTTTTTTTCTCACTTAACTTGTGTAACTGCACCGGCCTCACTGCAATTAATTTATGCCAGAGTAAGAAAAAATAGAATCAAGCTCTCAGATTTTAAAATTTCATCCAGGGTGGGGGAGAGAGGAAGGTAACTTATGATCTGGGAAAATATTGTGAAAAAATGAAGATGGCACACATCTTCACCTTCAGATACGAAATCAGGTTACTGTCTCAGTTCAAATAGTGACATGGACAAAGAATAATTTGTGTATTGTGTATGTTTATAGCAGGACAACAAAATTACAGCTTCTCTCTGTTCACCGCACACATATATATATATACACATATAAATTCCATTTGCCAGAGGCATGTTTTAGGATCCTGAAAAAGTATTTACTTTGAAGCATAGCTTTTTCAAAGGGAAATGCAAATTTTTTGCCTGTAGTAAGTCGTACAAATATTTTCATTATTTTATATTTTAATTTATTTTTTTATTATTTTTAAAAAGGACATTAATATTTATTGCAAATACTACTACCAAGTAAATCAAGTGATCATTCACTTTTCATGTGGTATAATCAAAATCTTTTGATCATGGTTTGAAAATGTCCATCTGTTGCAAAGATGGTTGTAGTAATAAGAAAGGAGAACATGGGTAAAAGTTGTAAGAAAAGCTGATGAACAGCCCTCTAACTGACATGACAGTCCTCTGTTACTGATCCTGCAACTTAATATGCATCTGTGACAAGAATGTAACAAAAAGCTTCTACTAAACAAAAAAAATACATTTCAAAAAAAGCTCT